TACAATTTAATCATAAGAAATTTACATTTCAAATCCAGTGTAAGAACCTGAAAACATTGACTAAACCACTGGTTTGCAGCATATTTCCGACCAGCTTGTGAAAACAAATGGGAGTTCAATGTTTGCTGCTTGGTTGTCCAACAATGTTTCTTTGAAGCTGTTATTGTCGCTAATCCTGGTATTGATATCAGGAGAGCACGTATTTTGTATGTTGATATGATAGATTTGTCACTGGCTGTTTCCCTATATGACATTGATAACGTTTCATGTCAACAAGGAGCAATCTTGGATCAGTTCACTTGTGAGATCGTCAAGAAACGCCAGTATTGTCCTTCCGTTGCTTTGACTGGCACCTTTCCGTCTTTCCAGAAGAGAGTGTTATACTGTGCTATCAGAAGGCATCGGACTCACAGCCCATGGCGATGGCGAGTGTGACTAGCAAGACCTGCCCGCGTTAAGAAAAGTCTTTCACAATTACGGCATGGTAATTCAGAACCGTTGATGTTAACATTTGTGTTTAGCCTATTTCTTCTCAGCTCTCATCCTTTCTACAGTCATTTCTGCCTTCATTATCATTCCCTGCCTTATATGCCCCTCCAGACAAAACGCTCCAGGACATTTTTGTTTACACGAGTTTACCTCAATACCTGTATCATTCATGTCCCGCTTATACCCATCTTTGTATCGAGGTCGACCTCAATATGTATTCTACCCACCTCCAGTTTACAATAAAGTATGTCCGTTGTAACATGCTATCCTGCATTCTACAGTTTACAATAAAGTATGTCCTTAGCGACTCTGCTATCCTGCATTCTCCAGTTTACAATAAAGGATGTCCTTAGTGACTCTGCTATCCTGTATTCTCCAGTTTACAATAAAGGATGTCCTTAGAAACCTGCTATCCTGCATTCTCCAGTTTACAATAAAGTATGTCCTTAGCGACTCTGCTATCCTGCATTCTCCAGTTGACAATAAAGTATGTCCTTAGCGACTCTGCTATCCTGTATTCTCCAGTTGACAATAAAGTATGTCCTTAGCGACTCTGCTATCCTGCATTCTCCAGTTTACAATAAAGTATGTCCTTAGCGACTCTGCTATCCTGCATTCTCCAGTTTACAATAAAGTATGTCCTTAGCGACTCTGCTATCCTGCATTCTCCAGTTTACAATAAAGGATGTCCTTAGCGACTCTGCTATCCTGTATTCTCCAGTTGACAATAAAGTATGTCCTTAGCGACTCTGCTATCCTGCATTCTCCAGTTTACAATAAAGTATGTCCTTAGCGACTCTGCTATCCTGCATTCTCCAGTTTACAATAAAGTATGTCCTCTGCGACTCTGCTATCCTGTATTCTCCAGTTGACAATAAAGGATGTCCTTAGCGACTCTGCTATCCTGCATTCTCCAGTTTACAATAAAGTATGTCCTTAGCGACTCTGCTATCCTGCATTCTCCAGTTTACAATAAAGTATGTCCTTAGCGACTCTGCTATCCTGTATTCTCCAGTTTACAATAAAGTATGTCCTTAGCGACTCTGCTATCCTGCATTCTCCAGTTTACAATAAAGGATGTCCTTAGCGACTCTGCTATCCTGCATTCTCCAGTTTACAATAAAGTATGTCCTTAGCGACTCTGCTATCCTGCATTCTCCAGTTTACAATAAAGTATGTCCTTAGCGACTCTGCTATCCTGCATTCTCCAGTTTACAATAAAGTATGTCCTTAGCGACTCTGCTATCCTGCATTCTCCAGTTTACAATAAAGTATGTCCTTAGCGACTCTGCTATCCTGCATTCTCCAGTTTACAATAAAGTATGTCCTTAGCGACTCTGCTATTCTGCATTCTCCAGTTTACAATAAAGGATGTCCTTAGAAACCTGCTATCCTACATTCTCCAGTTTACAATAAAGGATGTCCTCTGCGACTCTGCTATCCTGCATTCTCCAGTTTACAATAAAGGTTGTCCTTAGCGACTCTGCTATCCTGCATTCTCCAGTTTACAATAAAGTATGTCCTTAGCGACTCTGCTATTCTGCATTCTCCAGGTGTCACCCAGCCACCTGAGAAATATGTTGCTTTAGTGGCTCGAGATAAGCATTGATCTGTCACATATACTAGGTATATGTGTATTAAACACATAAAGATGTATTGATCGGCACTCGTGGAAAGAAGTAGAAAGATAAAAGAACACACTAGACTATGAATGTCAAACTGAGGGTCCTTCGAGTGTTATATGGGTCAGATTTGTATTGAATTAATGACCACACGCGCCAACTAATTAAATTTATAATAAACATTTGCTAAATATTTGTTGTTGCGAGCCGCAGGTGTGTTGTCAAAGGGCCGCATACGGCCCGCAGCTATAATACTGCCTGGGCATTGTGCTATGGAGATAAGTATCTTCCTCACAAGCCTTCACTGGTATCACCATGGTTGTCAGTCCTACAGTGCCCTCTATCACAGTGGTTCTCAGCCTTTCTAATGTCACGACCCTTTAATACAGTTCCTCGTGTTGTGGCGACCCCCAGCCATACAATTACCGTACAATTATTTTCGTCGCTACTTTATAACTTCAATGAATATTTGTATTACGATGGTCTTTGTCGAACCCCGTAAAAGGTTAGTAGAAATATTACTTTATAAAAATACACACTTACAGTGGTTGTTGAGACACTTCTCGTTAAAATATGTCAGTTGAGGTCAAAGGGCAACTGGAGTAGAGCTCGTTGACGAGGCAGCCCTGAGAAAGGCAGAACTGTCAGAGACAAGGGGGGACTGGCGGGACAGACGGACTCCACGACCCGATGTGTTTACAACGATGGATGAGATTCCAGACAGACGGACTCCACGACCCGATGGGTTCACAACGATGGATGAGATTCCAGACAGACGGACTCCATGACCCGATGGGTTCACAACGATGGATGAGATTCCAGACAGACGGACTCCACGACCCGATGTGTTCACAACGATGGATGAGATTCCAGACAGACGGACTCCACGACCCGATGGGTTCACAACGATGGATGAGATTCCAGACAGACGGTCTCCACGACCCGATAGGTTCACAACGATGGATGAGATTCCAGACAGACGTACTCCACGACCCGATGGGTTCACAACGATGGATGAGATTCCAGACAGACGGACTCCACGACCCGATGTGTTCACAACGATGGATGAGATTCCAGACAGACGGACTCCACGACCCGATGTGTTCACAACGATGGATGAGATTCCAGACAGACGGACTCCACGACCCGATGTGTTCACAACGATGGATGAGATTCCAGACAGACGGACTCCACGACCCGATGTGTTCACAACGATGGATGAGATTCCAGACAGACGGACTCCACGACCCGATGTGTTCACAAGGATGGATGAGATTCCAGACAGACGGACTCCACGATCCGATGGGTTCACAACGATGGATGAGATTCCAGACAGACGGGCTGAAAGACTTCAATGAGGAAGTCGCCATTTGAATAAAGTCTAACAATACAGAAAACAGTATTACTGTCATCGTCGCCAGACTTTGGAGAAACATGGAGAACAGAGAGAGATCAGATATAACTCCAGCACTGGCAAGGGTGAGAAACAGATATTTATACTTTTTAATTAAACGAGTAATGACATTATCAGTTAATATAAAATTATCGATAGTTTCTTAGATAATTATATTGTTACCGGACTTCTCCTGAAGAGCTCAGTCGTTGTTTGGTATTGATGTAAGTTAAGTAGAAGACCTTGTTCGTGCTATTAGGCATATAGGGCTAGACCTACATTTTACAGACCAATCGGCGGTCAGTACCATTCGATAGTCGGAGAGTAATGTTGTCAACACCATGCCAGCCATATTTACTTCCCATGATCGCATCCAGTTCCTATTTGGGGTTAGGGGTGACCTCCAGGGCATATCCGTTTGTCAGAATATAAACTCACGACCTTCGGATCCTATCGGCAGGCAAGAGTCTAGCCGCTATACCACGGTGTCGCCCTTGGTATTGCTGTAGTGAGCCAGATTTGTTTCCTAACTGACTGTCTATGAAATGTTTATGAAGTAATAGTTGAGCAAACAAGGAATCTCCGCAATAGTAGGACCTGTGACATCTACGAGGTAGATATTCATAATATTTTTGTTTCTTGAATGCTTCTTGCCCTAAGTCATTGTTGACAACATTCCGGGTTGCTTCTGCAGCATTAATAATACTCTGCTAGCTTGCTAGGTCAGTCGCAGTTTCAAACGAAACTTAAAAGGTCGTTCCTATCTCACTCAATGTGACCTTTATAACTCCGCTCCAGAAGAACTATCAGTGTCACCAGAAGGGAAATGAGGAATAATATCATCAGGGAAATGGTAGTGTCAACATCGTACAGTTGTTACATAGAGAGCAACATGATTATGTCCTATGATAGCGTCAACATCGTGCAGTTGTTACATAGAGAGCAACAAGGTTTTGTCCTATGGTAGCGTCAACATCGTACAGTTGTTACATCGAGAGCAACATGGTTTTGTCCTATGGTAGCGTCAACATCGTGCAGTTGCTACATAGAGAGCAACAAGGTTTTGTCCTATGGTAGCGTCAACATCGTACAGTTGTTACATAGAGAGCAACAAGGTTTTGTCCTATGGTAGCGTCAACATCGTACAGTTGTTACATAGAGAGCAACAAGGTTTTGTCCTATGGTAGCGTCAACATCGTACAGTTGCTACATAGAGAGCAACATGGTTTTGTCCTATGTTAGCGTCAACATCGTACAGTTGTTACATAGAGAGCAACATGGTTTGTCCTATGGTAGCGTCAACATCGTACAGTTGCTACATAGAGAGCAACATGGTTTTGTCCTATGTTAGCGTCAACATCGTACAGTTGCTACATAGAGAGCAACATGGTTTTGTCCTATGGTAGCGTCAACATCGTACAGTTGCTACATAGAGAGCAGCATGGTTTTGTCCTATGGTAGCGTCAACATCGTGCAGTTGTTACATAGAGAGCAACATGGTTTTATTCTATGGTAGCGTCAACATCCTACAGTTATTACGTAAGGAGCAACAGGGTTTTTTCCCAACGGTAGCATCAACATCGTACAGTTGTTACATAGAGAGCAACAAGGTTTTGTCCTATGGTAGCGTCAACATCGTACAGTTGTTACATCGAGAGCAACATGGTTTTGTCCTATGGTAGCGTCAACATCGTGCAGTTGCTACATAGAGAGCAACAAGGTTTTGTCCTATGGTAGCGTCAACATCGTACAGTTGTTACATAGAGAGCAACAAGGTTTTGTCCTATGGTAGCGTCCTACATCGTACAGTTGTTACATAGAGAGCAACAAGGTTTTGTCCTGTGGTAGCGTCAACATCGTACATTGCTACATAGAGAGCAACATGTTTTTTGTCCTATGTTAGCGTCAACATCGTACAGTTGCTACATAGAGAGAAACGACTTTTTTGTCCTATGGTAGCGTCCACATCGTACAGTTGCTACATAGAGAGCAACATGGGACACCCTATGTTAGCGTCAACATCGTACAGTTGCTACATAGAGAGCAACATGGTTTTTTTCCTATGCGTAGCGTCAACATCGTACAGTTGCTACATAGAGAGCAGCATGGTTTTGTCCTATGGTAGCGTCAACATCGTGCAGTTGTTACATAGAGAGCAACATGGTTTTATTCTATGGTAGCGTCAACATCCTACAGTTATTACGTAAGGAGCAACAGGGTTTTTTCCCAACGGTAGCATCAACATCGTACAGTTGTTACATAGAGAGCAACTTGGTTTTGTCCTCGGATGAGAATGGAACCTCTGAGGTTACAATCCTTAGAAGGGGACACTGAGCACAAAGCAGACCTACATCGACAGGGTGTTGCTAACTCGGCAGCGTGTGGTTGTCATTCTCCATAGCAAATATCACTGTATGTCTTACGGGGCTGCTAAAACTAGACAAGTCAAAGAACGAACGGACTTTATTGAGAAGAAATCTGGCCACAGGAACAACTCTACCAGATAAACTCTGGGACACCCGTGAAGACCTCAAACACACCGTCCTGTTGGTGACCCATTTTAGAATACGCGTTGCAAACGTCGATCTTTGAAGAAAAAGCTACATCTGTAGATATAGATTCTAGAGCATCAAGGGGAACTTGAAGTGGGCTGGCCAACATCAGGCAATAACACAGGCTCACATTATAACCTGTAGCCCACCTGATACTAGTAGCTAAAGTGTACCTCCCCATGCGCTGCTCATGGTGGCGATGTTGTGGTGGCGATGTTGTGGTGGCGATGTTGTGGTGGCGATGTTGTGGTGGCGGAAATGATGATGATATAATCAGATAAATGGCAAACAGAAAAGAAGTGTAATGTTGAATAGGATCATGATAACAATAATTTATGATATGTAGTTATTGATGGAACCTGTGATGTCAGGATTTCTGGACCCGAACATTGTGTGATTGTAGTAGTGGGAGTGTCGGCACGTTGTGTGATTGTAGCAGTGGGCACCGCCTCGGGGCAGTATGTGATTGTGGCAGTAGGAGCGCCCTAACGTTGTGTGATTGTGGCAGTAGGAGCGCCCTAACGTTGTGTAATTGTGGTAGTAGGAGAGCCCTAACGTTGTGTGATTGTGGCAGTACGAGCGCCCTAACGTTCTGGTATTGTGGCAGTAGGAGCGCCCTAACGTTGTATGATTGTGGCAGTAGGAGCGCCCTAACGTTGTGTGATTGTGGCAGTAGGGGCGCCCTAACGTTGTGATTAGTAGCAGAAGGAGCGCCATAACGTTGTGTGATTGTGGCAGTAAGAACGCCCTAACGTTGTGTGATTGTGGCAGTAGGAGCGCCCTAACGTTGTGTGATTGTAGCAGCAGGAGCGCCCTAACGTTGTGTGATTGTAGCAGCAGGAGCGCCGGCACGTTGGATTTGATGGGGTGAGGGTGGAAAGAGGAGGCGGAAGAAGCTTTGTTTCTTTTGTCAACACTCAACCCTTTCCTCTGGCTGTGTATGCAGTTACACTGATAAAGGACTGCCACCTCGCTGTCTATCTTTTTTCTGCCCTTTTCTCTGTCTCTCTGTCATGTATTTCTCTGTCAGTTTCTCTCTTTCTGCCCTTTTCTCTGTCTCTCAGTCATGTATTTCTCTGTTAATCTCTCTCTTTCTGTCCTTTTCTCTGTCTCTCTGTCATGTATTTCTCTGTCAGTCTCTCTTTTTCTTTCTGCCCTTTTCTCTGTCTCTCTGTCATGTATTTCTCTGTCAATCTCTCTCTCTTTCTGCCCTTTTCTCTGTCTCTCTGTCATGTATTTCTCTGTCAGTCTCTCTCTTTCTGCCCTTTTCTCTGTCTCTCTCTGTCATGTATTTCTCTGTCAGTCTCTCTCTTTCTGTCCCTTTCTCTGTCTCTCTCTGTCATGTATTTCTCTGTCAGTCTCTCTCTTTCTGTCCCTCTTTCTATTTCTCACACTGTCAGTGTATTTCCCTGTCTCTCTCTCTCTCTCTCTCTCTGCTCATTTCTCTGTCTCTCTGTCATGTATTTTCCACCAGGTCCACATCTCGATAACTGCATCATTCTCTTACCCGACAAGTTGCCTGTAGTCCCTCAAGTCTCTGTACCCGACAAGTTGCCTGTCTCTCCGACAAGTTGCCTGTACCCGACAGTCTCACTCTCTGTCTGTACCCCAAGTTGCCTGTACCCGACAAGTATTTGCCTCTGTCAAGTTGCCTGTACCCGACAAGTTCTGTCACAAGTTGCCTGTACCTCTTCTGCCTGTACCCGGCAAGTTGCCTCTGCCCGACTTCCTGTCTACCCGACATGGTTTTCTGCCTGTACCCGACTGCCTGTACCCGACAAGTTGCCTGAACCCGACAAGTTGCCTGTACCCGGCAAGTTGCCTGTACCCGGCAAGTTGCCTGTACCCGACAAGTTGCCTGTACCCGACAAGTTGCCTGTACCCGACAAGTTTGCCTGTACCCGACAAGTTGCCTGTACCCGACAAGTTGCCCTGTACCCGACAAGTTGCCTGTACCCGACAAGTTGCCTGTACCCGACAAGTTGCCTGTACCCGACAAGTTGCCTGTACCCGACAAGTTGCCTGTACCCGGCAAGTTGCCTGTACCCGGCAAGTTGCCTGTACCCGGCAAGTTGCCTGTACCCGGCAAGTTGCCTGTACCCGGCAAGTTGCCTGTACCCGACAAGTTGCCTGTACCCGACAAGTTGCCTGTACCCGACAAGTTGCCTGTACCCGACAAGTTGCCTGTACCCGACAAGTTGCCTGTATCCGGCAAGTTGCCTGTACCCGGCAAGTTTGCCTGTACCCTCTCAAGTTGCCTGTACCCCGGCAAGTTGCCTGTACCCGACAAGTTGCCTGTACCCGACAAGTTGCCTGTACCCGACAAGTTGCCTGTACCCGACAAGTTGCCTGTACCCGACAAGTTGCCTGTACCCGACAAGTTGCCTGTACCCGACAAGTTGCCTGTACCCGACAAGTTGCCTGTACCCGACAAGTTGCCTGTACCCGACAAGTTGCCTGTACCCGACAAGTTGCCTGTACCCGACAAGTTGCCTGTACCCGACAAGTTGCCTGTACCCGACAAGTTGCCTGTACCCGACAAGTTGCCTGAACCCGACAAGTTGCCTGTACCCGGCAAGTTGCCTGTACCCGACAAGTTGCCTGTACCCCGACAAGTTGCCTGTACCCGACAAGTTGCCTGTACCCGACAAGTTGCCTGTACCCGACAAGTTGCCTGTACCCGACAAGTTTGCCTGTACCCGACAAGTTGCCTGTACCCGACAAGTTGCCTGTACCCGACAAGTTGCCTGTACCCGACAAGTTGCCTGTACCCGACAAGTTGCCTGTACCCGACAAGTTGCCTGTACCCGACAAGTTGCCTGTACCCGGCAAGTTGCCTGTACCCGGCAAGTTGCCTGTACCCGGCAAGTTGCCTGTACCCGGCAAGTTGCCTGTACCCGGCAAGTTGCCTGTACCCGACAAGTTGCCCTGTACCCGACAAGTTGCCTGTACCCGACAAGTTGCCTGTACCCGACAAGTTGCCTGTACCCGACAAGTTGCCTGTATCCGGCAAGTTGCCTGTATCCGGCAAGTTGCCTGTACCCGGCAAGTTGCCTGTACCCGACAAGTTGCCTGTACCCGACAAGTTGCCTGTACCCGACAAGTTGCCTGTACCCGACAAGTTGCCTGTACCCGACAAGTTGCCTGTACCCGACAAGTTGCCTGTACCCGACAAGTTGCCTGTACCCGACAAGTTGCCTGTACCCGACAAGTTTGCCTGTACCCGACAAGTTGCCTGTACCCGACAAGTTGCCTGTAACCCGACAATTTGCCTGTACCCGACAAGTTGCCTGTACCCGACAAGTTGCCTGTACCCGACAAGTTGCCTGTACCCGACAAGTTGCCTGTACCCGACAAGTTGCCTGAACCCGACAAGTTGCCTGTACCCGGTCAAGTTGCCTGTACCCGACAAGTTGCCTGTACCCGACAAGTTGCCTGTACCCGACAAGTTGCCTGTACCCGACAAGTTGCCTGTACCCGACAAGTTGCCTGTACCCGACAAGTTGCCTGTACCCGACAAGTTGCCTGTACCCGACAAGTTGCCTGTACCCGACAAGTTGCCTGAACCCGACAAGTTGCCTGTACCCGACAAGTTGCCTGTACCCGGCAAGTTGCCTGTACCCGACAAGTTTGCCTGTACCCGACAAGTTGCCTGTACCCGACAAGTTGCCTGTACCCGACAAGTTGCCTGTACCCGACAAGTTGCCTGTACCCGACAAGTTGCCTGTACCCGACAAGTTGCCTGTACCCGACAAGTTGCCTGTACCCGACAAGTTGCCTGTACCCGACAAGTTGCCTGTACCCGACAAGTTGCCTGTACCCGACAAGTTGCCTGAACCCGACAAGTTGCCTGTACCCGGCAAGTTGCCTGTACCCGACAAGTTGCCTGTACCCGACAAGTTTGCCTGTACCCGACAAGTTGCCTGTACCCGACAAGTTGCCTGTACCCGACAAGTTGCCTGTACCCGACAAGTTGCCTGTACCCGACAAGTTGCCTGTACCCGACAAGTTGCCTGTACCCGACAAGTTGCCTGAACCCGACAAGTTGCCTGTACCCGACAAGTTGCCTGTACCCGGCAAGTTGCCTGTACCCGACAAGTTGCCTGTACCCGACAAGTTGCCTGTACCCGACAAGTTGCCTGTACCCGACAAGTTGCCTGTACCCGACAAGTTGCCTGTACCCGACAAGTTGCCTGTACCCGACAAGTTGCCTGTACCCGACAAGTTGCCTGTATCTCAAAACCAGTCACCGTTAGTGGCAACACGCACAATCACGACCACGCACAATCACGCTCACTCACACACGCACAATCACGCTCACTCACACACGCACAATCACGCTCACTCACACACGCACAATCACGCTCACTCACACACGCACAATCACGCTCACTCACACACGCACAATCACGCTCACTCACACACGCGCACGCTCGCTCGCTCACGCACAATCACGCTCACTCACACACGCGCTCGCTCGCTCACACATACATATACACACACACATGCAGACAAACAAACACACAACAAAAACATCAATCAATGTTTTATAGAGACGACAGTTTGGCATATTACCATATCAAAAAATCGACCTTTGACCTACAGTGATAATAGATGTACTGACCAGAGACGTTTGAATATGATAAAGTGAAAGATCGAACTTTGGCAATTGTTGCAATCACCGAGGGTCCCTGGTTGCTCGGTCTCAAGTCTGCGCTAGAAACTTAGTTTTCGTTTACTTGCTACTTATTCAGCGTAAGCACATTGCAGCCTGGGTCATCGGCTGGGGGTCGGACTGACTTGCAAATAAAACTGTGTGGCTTGAAGCGAGCACACACAGCTGCATAGTCTAACACTCGCTGACACAACTGTCTTGTCTAAAACTTGCAGACACAACTGTCTCGTCTAACACTCGCAGATACAACTGTCTCGTTTAAAACTCGCACACAAGCTGCTAATACTAACAGATACAACTGTCTCGTCTAAACACAGACACAATTGTCTCGTCTGCAGACAAACTCGAAGCAGACACAACTGTCTCGTCTAACACTTGCAGACACAACTGTCTCGTCTAAAACTTGCAGACACAACTGTCTCGTCTAAAACTCGCTGACACAACTGTCTCGTCTAAAACTCGCAGATACAACTGTCTCGTCTAAAACTTGCAAACACAACTGTCTCGTCTAAAACTCGCTGACACAACTGTCTCGTCTAAAACTCGCAGATACAACTTCTCAAAAAAATCTGGCCCGCGAAGACCTGGCAAGTGGCCGGCTGATCACCTGCCAGTTGTACTGTATTCATGAATAATCGCCTGGGACTCCGGATTGTGACACTCCCTATTCTCAAGAGTGTGGACCCTGAGTCAGTAGAGTCGAATAGCCCCGCCATAGAATGTCAACAAAATTAGGACTTAAAACGGCAAGCGCGCGCGCACACACACACACACGCACGCACACACACACACACACACATATATATATATTTTTTTTTTAAACGTATCCAGAAACCATGAGTAGTTAACCCTTTGGCTCGGTACTATGGATATCGCAACCCTTCGGCATTGATTCCATTATAGGTACCGTTAATCTGGGAGAAATGTGGCTTTTCTGCCTACCCCCGGGAGTGAACCCGGACCACAAGGAGTTCGTCACCCGGCCGCCGCGAAAGTCAGGTTTAACCAACTTCGCTAGAAAGCCGGGCACATATATATATATATACATATATAAAACAGAATGGGATCACCTTTCGAAGATCAGAAAACTCTAATACAAGACATGATTTCAATGTGCCAGTTGTTGATGGCTGATGGGCTGGACTAGTCTGGTCACTGATGGCACCTTTCACCGCGTGTTTGGCAACCTCCTCACGAGCTTCGTTACTTCCACTTCACGGCTAGTGTCATCGCCATGATCTGGCTATTAAAACTCCATTTCAACGGAAACAGCTGTTGCCTGCGAGGGGACTTGCCGTCAACACGGGGGCAATTCATGAATGTAGAGCGGCGGAGGGCAGAGTGTCAGTCAACAAATTATGCCCCCTGGGATGCCTCTTCGGATCCGATCCGCCCTTGATATCACATTTATTGTCATTAAATTCTCATTTTGGATTTCAGCGGCGTCGCCCGACAAAGGGAAGCTACCGCTGCGGGAGTGGACCGTTATTGCACTGTTAGTTACAGATTGCTTTTTGGGTGTGATGCTGTGTCTGTGTCTGAGGCAGGGAGGAGGGGTGGGTTCAATCTCTCTCCTTCTAAATCTCTCTGTCTATGTCTTTTGTGTGGATGCATTTGTGTATGTGTGTGTGTGCTGTTCGGGTGGATATTATCAGTATCCTTGTGTTGTACTCAGCCCCCAATCTGAGACAGTTTTTCCTATTTTAAAGCCTGCTGTCGTCGGGGCCCAGTAATTAAACCAAATGGTTACCTCTGCCTCTGGTTGAAAGTGGGGGGAGAGGGTTGTGGGTGGAATTCTCATCCGAATAGTGGCACCTTGTGTCAAGTGGTGATAATCGCTGGCTATGCGGCCCTGCTAGGGTTGAACTTCACTCATCAGTATCGTTAAACCTTACAACGACTGCCCCGCTTGGCTTAGGGATAGCCTACCAACAGTAAGAACCACTGTAACAGGGGTCTCCTCCAAATCATCAATGAGCAGCACTGATATGAAATCAACTACAGAACGAGAGATCAATAGACTTTACCCACACCAGAGTTGGATTCGAGTGTATACAGATGGTTCAGCCAAGAGAGCAGTAAGAGACGGGGGAGGAGGAATATACATAGAATGCCCAAATGGTTTTAAAATCAACCAGGCTGTACCAACAGGTTCATATTCCTCCAATTACAGAGCAGAGGCAGAAGCACTTCTAGCCGCATGTTCTTTCCTGAATGGACAACAGCACAGCAAATATAGCAGAGTGGTCTTTCTGACTGATGCTATGTCAGTTCTACAAGCAATTATTAACCCAAAAGACACTCAGTTTGTAGACTTGACGCAACAGCTGATTTACTTAGGCTCTTCAGTAGAACAATCTGTTCTGCAGTGGATTCCAGGTCACTGTGGCTTGGAAGGCAATGAAATAGCAGACAGATTGGCCAGAAGCGGCAGTGACATGGTACAACCAAATAGCGACTTAACCCATCAAGAGATGAAAACACTAATACAAGCTAGTATCCAAGAAAGGTGGCTGGATACCCACACCAGATTTTCTCCCCAAGACTCACTTCATCGCCTCTCTAGAGAGGGACAGTCTATTATATTCAGACTAAGGACTGGGCACAATAGATTTCGTCAACATATGTTCAAAATTTTCGGTGTAGGAAATACGGAGACGTGTCCCTGCAGCCTGGCACCCGAAAATGCTGACCATGTGCTCCAACACTGTCAACTGTATGCTGACAACAGAGACGCAATCTGGCCTGTTCCAACCACAATGAAGACAAAACTGTATGGTACACGAGAGGATATGGATTGCACGATAGCTTTCATAAAGGCTACCGGCCTCCTGATATAAGTTTTCTGACAGAAGGATCGAAGAAGAAGAAAAAGAGTATCGTTACAATTTCAATATAATACCAGCTAGGAGTAAGCTGCCCCTGGCGGTATCGTTACATTCCAAATCGATACTATAAGGCGATACTAAGGACTGAATATCGCTGAAAATGGGAACACTTTACTCTGCGGAGAGGGCACCTGATAATGATGCATCCGTGGAGACGTCACGACAGTCTTTGATGAGAGCGCCTCAGACTACACACCAGCATGCAGACGGCCCACATCTGCTTGTAAATATATCAATTTTCACAAACATCTTGCGGAAAGCCATCCTAATTAGTTTCAGAAACGACTGCTCTGCCCATTCCAGTTTTTCTAATTGCTCATTATCACGCCATGTTTCTTCCCCAAGAGTCCATTATTGCGTCCAGCCTGGTTTTTCTGGTCAGCGTTCCATTTCTGTGCTGATTCGTTCACGTGTTTACGGGTTTCTCTTGATCAGGTTAGAAGCGCAGATTCCTGTGGGTTGTGTGATCTCGTCAGTAAATCTTATTGTAGCCTCATCGGGTTTTCTCCTCGCATCGTCATGTCAGCCTGGAATATTTCTGCGGTCCATATTCTACATGGTCGACCTCTGGCTCTGTTGCCGCAGTATTTGTATCAAACTGCTCTCTGTGGCGCCCAGGAAACGTTCATGTTGTGCTGTGTATACGGCTGGCAGTCCTCCGTTCTACCCCATGCGATCTTTTCGATACTCTGGGCAGGCCCGCCGTCACGAAGAAAAATTCCTGGAAAAATTTGGAAAGAGTCCAGTTTTTTTTTGTTGGCCCCCCTTTGTTTTTTTTTTTTGGGTTTTTGTGGAATATTTAATAGGATTGCTGACATTCTTAGGCGTTTTCCTCGGGGGTTCCTTGGGGCAGAAAGGGAAATATCAGTACTTATAAAAGGGGTCCTTTTTACCCCAATATAATTCAGCATGGACTCCGTTGTATACCGATCGTCTCATGGGTATGCGGTCAAAATCACCCCGGGCCCCCTAACTCTTCAAGACCTACCCCCTTTAACAATGCAGGTCAGTTCTGATAAAGCAAACCTAACTGATGGGAATCAGCTAAAAACCCTTGGTCGGTATGCGAGTGACTACCCAGCTACCCCGGCTGTAGAGCCCGTGCTGTTCTTCTTAAAACC